CACACACACACACACACACACACACACACACACACACACACACACACACACCACAACACACACACACACCACAACACACACACACGCACCACAACACAAACACACACACACACACACACACAAACACACACACACACACACACACACACACACACACACACACACACACACACACACACACACACACACACACACACACACACACACACACACACAACACCCACACACACACACACACACACACACACACACACACACACACACACACACACACACACACACACACACACACACACACACACACACACACACACCGTGACGGTTGGTTCTCAGGGCGTGCCCTCCAACTCATGCTGGTTGATCCTGAAGAGAGGAATTGCACAAATTCGTGGGCTCTTCCTCTTTCAGGGGGGAGGATCGAGCTTGCTGAGTGCTTCGCGTTTGACTTTGGTTTCGACTAGCGCGCTGAAACAACATGGACCGGCTGTATTGGGACAAGCCGGCAAGCCTGAAAACAGATGGCCAAATGATCAAAAAGAAGCTTCAAGCATGTGTTATGGAAACATCTCAAAATCTGAGACTTCCCAAGGCTTCTATTGCAAAGGCACAGCGGTCCCTCCAGCTTTGCATGCTGTAAGAAGGCTGCAGTTGAGGGGCAACCATTACATCACGGGCCTTCCTCATTACCTCTCATTGCCGAGCCCTTTGTAAGGTTTCTCAAAATGGCCGAGCCCCACCATTCCGAGAACCCCGCCCGCTACACGGGTGGTTTTCTTTTTGGTTTCCCCTAAAAGCCCCAAAAACTACTCCCAAGAAAGCAACTATACAGTAGAAAAACGCCCAGGTACCGCGAGATCCTGGCGGCCCAGGGCTACGAGGGCGAGGTCTTGGGGGCGAAGGCCGCCTCGCTGCTCGCTCTACTGGCGGCCTCCGGCCGCTACTGGGCCGGCAGACTGCCCCGCGGCAAATCGTCCCGGCCAGAGCTTCAATGAGCGCGGATCAATGACCCGCGATAGTGGTAAGGGGCCGGTTCTAAGGAGTGAAGTGATATATGTGCCCCCACTTTCACAAAAGACTTTCATATTCTGCAAAGCAGGTTTTGACTGGACTCAGACAAGGAACGGCCAGCCAAGCCAAGTAGTTGCGTCACACACTTGTACTTGTAAGGCAAGTCGCAACCCTGAATGGGCCCACGTTGCTGTCTACAGGGCCTCAAGCTCTTCACCCAGTTTGCTTGCCATAGCAAAGCGAGCTCAGGTACGGTGGCTAGGCAGATCTTGCTGGCCACCTCCAACTTGCACCCCCAAGCTGCGGACGGCGAGGATGATCATGGACTAGGTGGTCTCACGATCCTGGGCAAGAGGATGCCGCGGCGTGCAGAGAGCCGACCTGGCAGTCCCGCTCCTACGTCAAGTCTGTGCAGATCGGCCCGCGCAGAATGGGAAAATGGGCTGCGACGCGTTTGCTTCGCAAAATGGTTGCTTATGTGGGACCCCCGGGATATATTTTTGAGTTTCGTACATTCAGGAAGGCCGGCCTCAGGGAGGGGAAGACCAACTGAATAGTTGTTTGTTGCGGGCAATCAACGTCCTCGAGCATATTTGGTGTGTTGTGTTATTGCTCTTGTTGAGAAAATATCAGATGGATGGGTGAATCTTGCAGTGAGGCATCGTGAGCCCTAGTCAAGTCTGCAGTCTTCATGTGCCCATGCTTGCGCAAACCGCCTGGGACCTGTAAATGATTGAGGCAGGCAATCGACTAAGCCAACTGATGTAGGTAGAGCCAAAGAATATCCGGGTACCTGTGGCCCGCCTGAGAAGTCGGATAATGTGTCCAACACAAAAGGAGTTTTGGCTAGAGGTGCCTCGTGTTTGACAACCTGATTTCATGGCATTGAGCCCTGGGGCTCCTTCGCAAACGTTCGCGTTCGCCGCGAGCCTGTTCACATGCAGGGCGCCTTGGCGAACCCTCTGCTGCGGCAGAGTACCTCGGTGGTGTACATCGCATCCAAGGCTTGCGAAAAGGGGCCTTGCGAAGACCGTGTTAGTGGGTGGGAGGGTAGGTTTTGAGAAGGCTATTTGGGGTCGAAACAAGCAGTTTGGGGCATGTGAAGACAGAAGCGGATGCTTCTTCAAGATGCTTCTTCAAGTTGTGCTTTGAGATTGCCCAAGCCCAGCCGAGGGGCCAGACGTCATGCGGGCTCCTTGGTTAAAGGCTGCCAGGCATTGGCCTCTTGCAGGCCGTTTGGTTGCCATGCGCAGGAGTTCGCTGACATGTACAAGGAGACTGTGAAGACGCAGCTCAGTCGCAGCTTTCTTGGCGCCATTTTTGTTGGGAGGTCTTAAACTTTAGGGAGCAAAGGCTTGAGGGGTTCTCTGTTGGGAGAGGCTGGTGCCTGGGCCCTGGACGGAAACCAGCTGGCCCTTCTCAGATCTTCCGTCAAGCTGTCCTGAAATCCGAAACGGGTCCAAAGCGGGTCCACAGTTTCAACTCGACCTTATGGGTGAGCCTGAAACCAGTAGAGTGTTTTCTGGAGGTATGGCCCCGTAGCGCGATCGGCTTTGTGGCATTGGGTGGTATCTGCAACAGGTATTTTTGGACCACTATGCAGGTGTTCTGGTTTGGCTGGGCGGTTTGTTGACTTTTTCCTATGTTTGCGCCGATAATGCCCTTCAGCGTTGAGATGATGGGCACAGCTTTTCTAGCGAATGAATTAGCTCTTCGCGCTGCCCGATGTCTAGGCAGCCGGCGCCGGCCGCAAACAAGCCGCAGGCGACGGGCAGACGAGTGGCCAGTTGTACACGCTATGGGACAGCACAACCCCACAGACAAACCTTGGCCAAAAGGTGATGTCCATACCCCAGCGAACCCACTGAACCAAGGGCAAATATGGGAAGTTACTCGGGAGGTGCTGCAAGAGATCGACCAGCACGGCATCGCTTGGAAGCCGCTCAAGGATCCCTCCCTGTCGCACCTGCTCACTCAGGACTCCTTTCTTTGGCAACACGTGGTGCTCTCTCTCTCTCTCTCTCTCTGTCTCTCTCTCTCTCTCTATCTCTCTCGCCCTCTATTTTTGAGGGTACACTTTTCACCCCGAAAAGGAATGCCATATTTTGTGTGTGTGTGTGTGTGTTCCATGGGAAGGCGCTGCTTTGCTTCAGGATTTCTTCAAATTCAAGAAGACCCAAGAGGAGCTGCCAGGTGAGGCTAACCGCCTGCAGAGGCGAGCCATGAATTCGGCTCCTTGCCAATTCGAAAGTTCTTGTGCTGAACTCCATGTACCAAGCATGCTCCGAACATGTTCCAGGGTGATCCTGCCGCACATGCCCTTCATCCTCACAGCCCCCCACGACCCGACCTTCACGGCCGGGAACCCTGGGTCGCTGCAGCTCCGCACAGGCACCGGCGAGCCGACACGTCCCCACTGTTTGTGTGGAATGAAGCTCACCATGATGTCATGAAACAGGCAAATATCCGCAGAGGTTTCCGGGTGTTTCCACCGTTCCATTTTTAGAATTGACTACCTGAAATTGCAGGTTTCCTCTTGGAGGTATGCCAAACTGGTGCTCCAAACAGGGTCAAAGTCAAAAGGACCACCCTGCACCGTTCGCAACCTGATGGTTCATTGTCCAAGCTCACACTTCTCAGGCGGCGCTGATTGCATCTTGGCGGCAAGTGACAGGCCGCGGAACGGCTATGTGTTAGACATCTGGGCCGATATCTGGGATCACCGGCTGGCTATCAAGCAAAAGTTAAATCAAACGCCAAGTAATATAAAATGTCATCTCGGGTGAGCATCCAACCATTTTACAGCAACTAGAATCTTTCACTGCCAGCATGGGCTGAGATCATGCAGTCAGAGTTCGACCGTGCGGTGCACTCCGTCTCCACTGCGCCGGCCTACAAGACGGGATGCTGGGTCTTGCGGTTTGTTTGGTCCCTTTGGCATTAGGTCGTTTACAATTTACGTCAGCTGACGTCAGCTTGAGGGCGATCTTGAGGTGGCGGCTTGGAAGGGACCCATGCCCCGAAACTGGCTGGATTGGCTTGAGGCGCGCAGGTGGAAGGATTCCGTAGGAAGAGGTATGGTCCCATTTATGCATGTTTCTTGGTGCACTGAGAATGTCGATGTGGATACACAGTGGAGCCCTGTAGCCTGACCACATGTCAAACGTTTTAGGGAGGCACCTCTTACCAAAAAACAGCCCCTTCCAAACTTCAAACATCAGAGGGTCAGAACAAAAAAGGGCTCTGGATTGGATTAATCGTGCAACGCTTCATGTCCGGCCCGGTGCAGGAACCGAAACTTTGTGCTGATCTCTGGGCTCAACATTGACATCGCGCCACCCGCAGATGACATGGAGGCCATCAATGCCTTGGTCAGCGAAGGGTTCAGGGGGTAAATGGTGTCGAGACACGGCCAACTTAATCGCTGGTGAAGATTGTAATGCATGCGGGGCCAATTTCATTAATATGAGGGGTGGCAAGAATCAATATTTTAAACCGTTGTGCAACCCTGACGCTCGCCATTTCACCACTGCCACCAGGCCTACCCGCAAACCATGTTTTTGCCCTGGGCCGCTGCTCGGACGGCAGAGATAATTGCATTGCAGCATGTGTGCGAGTGCGAGTGCGCGTGCATGTGCCTGTGTTTGTTTACTTGTGTGTGAATGGGCCACATGAGGCCCTGTCAAGATGTTTTGTTCTTACGGGTGGCAATGGGGCCGCTGTGCATCACAAGGGACGAAGAGCTTGGATGTTGTTGGCACACGTGCATACATTTTTGTGATCAAGACTCATGTGTGAGTAGCACATCATGCCTCTCTTTCCGCCTTGAAGAAGGATGTGCAGGAATGAGACCGAGCGCATCATACAGTCGGCCAGGGAACCGTTGAGGTATCTTTTGTCAGGCCTGCGTGGGCTCATGGGTCATTCGGCGACGCCCAGACTCTCACCCCTCCCCCCCCCCTCCCCCACTTCCGCGGGTGCGCTGCCGCCTGAGTCCTTCATGCAGCTGAAGGATGGCACCCAGCGCGTCATCGAGCAAGACACCTTGGTGACCATGTGGCTTGGCGAAAGTTCCCCAAGACTCCTGATGTGAGTGTTTTTTGGGTGTGCTTCTTGGTGTGAATCTCCGAAAACGACTGCCTCATGTCCTGGAAATAGATTAGAATCTAGTAGAGCCACAGGCCATCTAGGAACTCTGCGCCCAGGTTTGCTGCTGGCGTGAGGAATTTCCGAGTGCTCGCAAAACTTCAACCCAATATGACCAGGTCAACTTTGGACTGTTGGGTGTGACTGAGTGTTGCTTGAGAAATTGCTGGACAGTTAAAGGTTTTTTAGCCTGCCATTGCGGGACTCTGGAGGGTTGCATTTGCATGGGTGAGGTTGCACAAGCAAGCGACGAACAACCCGGAGCCGGGGGAGGGGAGGGGCTTGGAGATTGGCCATTGGTGTGAGGTCAATACGCTGATGTCGTGGCTTATTTGGCGTGCTTGCGGCGCTAAGGGCTTGAGATGAGAGCTCAAAAGCTCCCTAACCCCAGCATCTCGAAACAGACAACCTTTTTCAAAGACCACGATAGATTTCCTCCGTCTTACCAACACTTCTCACAGCCCATTGTCCCCCCCCTGACGCTGTGGTCTACTACGGGAGAGGTCCACCATCGCTTGGGCTCATTACAGTGATTCACTTGCATAACAACTAGTTACTTGTCCCTGTGTTTGGCTTCATGTTGGGCCATACCCAGCTTGGGGGGAGTCAGCGCCGACAGGACGCCATCGAGCTGGAGAAGGGATTCTCCGCACTCTTCGGGCAAGAAGAGAAGCGCCTCGGATATGAACGGTGAGTGCTCGGCCCAGGGGGTAAACAGGCGGAGAGCGAAGGACAAGCAACCTCGACAACGATAGTTGCAATGAGAATTGCAATATTGACGTGAGCATATATATATATATATTATACATGGGCGCCGGGTGGGAATAGCACGGTTTGAAGGCCCTGCCTCCCCTTCTACAAGCGAACGTGGTGGGTTCCCTGGTTTTCCTTGGTCTTTGCGTCACTTGGCATTGAGAATTCTGAGGGTGAGAGTCAGCGTCTGCAACACGTCTTGCATCGCTGCCTCGCAAGGATTGTCTTCCACAACACCCGGGAGAACAACAGAATTGATCAAATTCGCACCGTCTGAGAGTCGGCTGAGGATGCTAAGAGGCGTCCCTTCTAAAGGCCATGAAGCGGGCAAGCAATGGTTGCTCTTGTTTGATTCGTCGTTGGTTTTTTTCAACCTTGCAAATGCGGGGAGGTGAGCCTGGCATCGAGTAGGTATTGCACTTCAGTAAAGTCTGCAGTGATCAGCATGGCAGGTGTGGGCAAGGTTAAAGGCTGGAGCTTTGGGTCCACAAATATGTCACATGCAGATTGGACGTGGCACCAAGTATGTGAGCACCAATGCCAGCCGTACCTTGCCGGCCCCATTTTTTCAAAGGCGGTATGCCTGGCTGTGGGCTGTGGAGCCGTTATGAAGGGTTAAGCCGGGTGGATGGCGTGGCCATGAGGCCGTTCCCCGGATCCTTGGGCCCACCGCCTTCCGGGGCGGCAGCATCAAAGATGCGGCGCCGAAGGTCTTTTTCCGCGAGCGAAAAAAGCGGCGGAGGCGCTCCGACTCGTTCGATTCGATTGGGACGAAACGGCTTGGACTCGTGGCGCGCGATGTGAGGAAATGGAGGCAACGTGCGCAGCTGCATGCCGTCGCAGGATGCTGGTCTAAGGTTCTTTCGGTGTCTTTGTTTTTTTGCATTCTCATTCTCTGCCAATATCAGCAGATGCCAATCCACTTCTTTGTTTTCTGCTCTTTCCATCCTGTGCCACACAAATTGGGTGACGGCCATCTGCGGTATGCGATTGTTCGCTGTGTCATTCCGCCACTTTTGTCAGACACTTGCACAGCAAGCTCGTAGGTGATGGAGATGTGGAGTCGCGGCGTTGAGAAGCCTGCATATGTGTGTGTGTGTGCGCGCGCGCATCGTCGCATCGGCTACGAATGCGGCCTGGTCTTTTGCCACATTGAGCCCTTTCCAGTCGAGGTCCTACTCACAACCAAGGTGACCACCAAAGTCAAATCAAGAAAACGAAAAGCCAAAGATTAGGACAGCGCCTCAGCCAAAAAAGTCAAGCCATGCAGCAAATGGCACAAGCTCACGCCACAGGCACAGCGTCCGTGGAACGTCTACATGGCTGCAATGCCAACTGCCGTGTGCCTTGCCACTTCCTGCAGTTGCTGCTTCCTTGTCGCAGCTGACCGGTATTTCCATGCGGCGGTGCAAGGCTAAGACATGCTACTCGAGACATTTGCTCGTCAAGAGGCCTGCGCAGCAGCTCCACGCAGCAGTTCGGGGACATGGACTTGGCACGCACGAGCAGACAGCCGGCGGCGGATCTGGTGCAAGGCTAGGCCGGGTTTGCGGTCAGCCACGGCGGAGGAGCGTCAGCTCGGACAAGGCTGACAAGAGTGTCCACAGCGACCCATTTGGGCAGGGTGTTGGCCACAACTTCTAGGCGGCGGTCATCCAACACCGGCGCAGACTGGAAGGGGCGTCCCTCCCAAGTACTTGTCCCGGCGGCTCGCTGCGCTTGGCTTTGGCGGGTGGTTGTCCCTCCTCCAAGACGCCGCCCGGTGCGTTTGGCGCCTAGCAACCAGGACGCTCCAGCGAAATGCCGCCGACCCAGACCGCTGCCGCCCGTTGTGGCGAGCGTTGGCTGGCTTGGGCAAAATGTCGGCCGCGGCCAGGGAGGCACCCGGCACGGTGGAAACGCGGCATCGCAAGGCCCGTGCCGCTGGAGGCACGCCTTCCAGCCGCCGAGCTCGCTTGTTCTCAGCGCCCGCTTGGGGTCCGGCTAAGACCCCTCTTCCAGCTCCTGTCACCCCTGAATGGACGTTTTGCGTTTCAGCCCGGCCCTAGGCAAGATGATGATGAAGACTGTTGCAATTGCACGTGTGAGCTCCAGCGCGACCTGACGAATGGCCGTCTGGCACCTGGGTCGTGTTTCGCCTTTGCACGTGAACTCTCGGCACATGTCCTGCTCGGTATGTCGTTGTGGTTGGTCTTCTGTTGCTGAGGAGCGCTCTGCTAATGTCCCACCTCCGCCCGCGCTGTGCTGGCCGCTGCGGGCGTCGGGGAAGCGCTGTGGTGGTTTCGCCCGTCCAGGCGCCCAGGAGGCCCTTCCTTATTTGGGAACAGTTGGTTCTATGTTCCCCTTCTCCTGTCCGCAGCCGGCGGTCTGCAGCAGCCGGGAAACCCACAACTTCTTGGCGCCAATTTGGCGGGTGGCCATGCTGGGCCTCATTTAACGTTCTCGAGGCCCTGCAGGCGGCAGCTGCCCAAGATGGCGCCCAAGATGGCGTCCAAGCGCCTGGCGTGGCACGACCTGCTCCAAGCTCGGCTCGCCTTTTTGTTTTTTTTCTTCTTTTTTTATCCCTTTCCTCCGCGCCTTTCTCCCCCCTTCTGGGAAAAACGAATACCCCGGCGGCCACCGACCTCAGCGGGCTGGGCATCGGCTGGCACGCGGGAAGCTGCCAACCATGGGGGCGGACGCTCGCCTCCGGGATTTTTTTTTTGGCACTCGTCGTGCCCAGGATGCCCTGAGGCGGGTTCCCTTATGCTTGCTGCGAAAGAAGGCGCGCCTAGCCTGTGTTAGGCAGCAGCGGCTGGCAACCTGCTCCGGCAACAATGACTCGAGCGCCCGTCTTGGCCGCAACTCCTTGCACAAGCAGCGCAGCTGTGCGTTCAGGTTGGCAGCCACATTGCGCAGCTCAACACATCTTTTGCGTGAACTTTATTGAAGACGAATGCCCAGCATGCAATGTGCCTCAAAACGCGGCCGCTGAAAAGGCCAGTGCGGATCCCAAGCCTAAACCAGCAGCAATCAAATGCCTGCTCTGCTATCTTCAACGCGGGTGTGAACGAGGGCACGTCCATGCAAGCCTTGTGGTTCCTGTTGCCCCCAATCTCAGCCGCCTCTTTCGCGCACTCACTTACGCTTGCCCAGGCGCGCGTAGCCCCCGCCCCGGGCCAGCTTGCAACCTGCGCGCGTTACCACACTGTCCGCCTTTGCCGCCTTTTTGGCGGGCATGCCAGTCGTTTTTGCAATCTTGATGGGAGTTCTTTCGCGCACCAGCCCCCGATGTCGCGAGACCTGAAGTTTTCCCACACATGCTCCCGCCTGGGGGCAATGTGCGGCCAGCAGAGGCGGTCGGCTGCAGCCGCGATCTCGGCAGACCGCCGCTCACCGAGGAACAGCGACAACAACGTTTCCAGAGCAGTTGCAGGGATTTAGCAATTTTGGAAAGAGCACTGCTCGACCGCCCAAGGAAAACGGAAGAGCCACGTGGCAATGCGGAGCGGGCCGCCGCGATGGTGCGCGGAAAGGAGGCTTCGGACGAAGAAAGCTGGCGGCCGTCCTGGCGTGTGAGGTCCAGCTAAGACTGCAGTACGTGGAGCAGGGCCCCGAATGCGATGGGCGGAGCGCAGAAGAAATCCAGAAGCACTGCACGCCAAAGCTGGCCAGTCTCCCATCCGGCCCTCCGCGCGCAGGGCCCCGGCGCCAGCTTGCAAAAGCGGAGCGAAAAGCCAACTGTTCCCGCCTGGGGGCTGAAGCGTCAGGCGGCCCGCGGGAAATCCAAGAAGTGCCCGCAGCTGCGCCGGCGGCGGAGGGGCGAGTGGAGCCGGGCAGGGGGCAGGAGCAAGGAGGCCCCGGAGGCGGTGTCGAAGCGACATTGACGGGAAGCGTGTCCCGCGGACAGGGGAGAAAGGGTGAACACAGATCCACCCGCGCTGCCGGGACGCGACATCAACTGCAAACACTCGAGGACCATGTTCTGCACAGAAAGGGGGAGACGGCACTCCCTGCAGGAGGGGATCGCGCATGGTGAGGCAGGACCCACAACGAAGGCAAATCCACTCAGGACCCCACCGCCCCTCCAAGGGACGGCGGGCAGGAACCCACGCCATGTGACGGGAGGGAAGATCAATCCAAGCCTGCTCCGAATCGGGGCGTGACCCATCCACCAACGCGAGGTGATGGCAGCAAAAGGAAACGACGGAGTCCGGAGGGCCTGGCGGCAGGGAATCCACAGACCAGCCGGGTGTTGTAAGAAGGTGCAGCCTGAGGTAAGACACTTGCTGCTCGCGACACTGCTGCGTGAACCCGTCCTGTGCAGACAGGGGGCAGCTTGTTTATACTGGGCCTGCCTCCCAGCTATGCAATCCGTGGCGCCCCGCCGCGTAACCAAAAACGAAACCAGGGGCAGCCCCAAAACCAAACAACCGAAACCGGGGGGGAGGAGCCAACCAACACTTGACCTTGAGCCAAAATGGCATTTTTGGCCAAAATTGGATCTCGAGCAAAAATGGTATCTGGGGCCAAAATGGCGACGGCCCTTCATTATTTCAAGAATACTGATGGCAAAGGCTGGTAAGCGGGGCGCGGCGGGGCCCAAATAATTGGAACGGAAATCATTTGGCCCTTCGTTACTTCAGGGTCCAAAAAATAGCGGCGGAAATAATTTGGCTCATCGCCATGCTAGTAGTGAGGACTGGTGATGCTAGTTATGGCGGCGGAAATCTTTTGGCCCTTCAGGACTTAAATAATAGTCATGGCGGAGGCTGGTGAGCAGGGGAGTCCATGGGCAAAAAGAATGGCCAGGTGATCATTTAGGAATTTATTTTTTTAGTTGTTTGGCATGACTCCTGGGAAGGGGGGGCGGGGTGCAAAAATACTGGCCAGGAAACAATGGCATCATTCAAATACTAGCGGGCAACATCATTTCGTGTTTCAATTTTTAAGCGCTTGTGCATTTGGGCCTTCATTGTTTGACTAATACTAATGATAATGAAGGGCCAAATGATTTCTGTTGAGCCCCCCCCGCCCGCGTAGTATTATTTGACACCAGCGCCTAAATAATGAAACCATGAAAGGATGTTGCGCGCCAGTATTTGAATAATGCCATGTGTGGCTAAATATTTGTTCGGGTGCCCCCGGGTCCAATCGCAAGGTTCGCGCGGGGTTCGGGTTCCTGGAACGTGTTTCTGGCAATGACACAGAAGCGCCGCCGGAGGTCGAGGACTGACCGCAGTTCTGTGTGAGCCTCGCTTTCAGTTGCGCCAATGGCACCTGCCATACCCATCCTGA